TGATGTTTCCAAACGATTATACTATGATGTACCCTAGATCATCTTCTCTCATTTTCCTCGAACCATCTCTCTTACACTCTTACCTGTTCTCCTACACATCATAAACATGTCTCATTCCACTGGAGTCTTTCCCGCCATATTTAAGTAAGTTCAGTTATCCCCACTGTAACCCCAATCAAACCAATACTTGACACTGCAGCAGTAGATTTCCATTTCCATTAATGTATTCAGCAGGGGCATTTATCCAAAGCCACTACTAGTGAATTCAAGACTCAAACCAATGATGTTTGTGTCGCTTGTGCCATCCTTTAGCAGTTGAGCTGGAACTGATAAGTATTATATAACACAGGCCTGAATTTCTGATTCCTGTCCAAAAACATTGAAAAAGGCTGTATTCAACTTTTTGCATTACTTTCACAGAGCAACATGCAGGATAAAACCATTCTGGCTTCAAAAGAGGACATTTACAGGCATATCTGTCAATGTTTCATGAAGGGGAGGAGTGTCTGAATCACACCTAACCACTAGGCTAAACACTGGAGAACTCTAGAGATCAATGCTTGGCTCTCTCTTCTTATCTATATACTGTACTTAACACAGCTTTACTGGTCATTCCAACCTGATAGTCCCACACTTTCATTCTGTCTTTCTAACATCATGGACTGAATGAAGGAATGTCATATCCAGGTCAACCTTGCAAAGGCTGAACTCCTTGACGTACCAGCCAGGCCATCAATTGTACACAACTCCACCAAACAGCTAAACCCAACAATAACAGGCATCTTTGGGAAGTATTTAACAACCACCCAAACAACTGCCTTGTTTATGCTCTTTAACGTAAAGAAAGTTAGCCCACACTGCTCTGATAATGCTGTGTAACTCTGGGTTCAGACTCTTTTCATCCAAAAATGGAAAATTGGAATGCTTTACTATCTGGCCTTCCAGCTGTCAAGCCTTGCAGATGACCCAGAATGTATGAGAGCATCTGGTCTTCAGTCAGCCAAAATTGTGCACCATGTCACACCTCTCTTGACTCACTGCCTGTAGGCATCTGATTCATATTCAAGGCTCTGATGCTAGCTTACCAAACAACCACTCTGTCTACATTCTCCCATACCCTGGAGTCAGTCAAAGAACATATGGTGGTGCCATCACAGTGTGGTACAAGGTCACTTCCAAAAGCCTTCACACTGTCCCTCTCCCTTGGTGATGGAATGAAGTCTCAACCTTCACCTTAACAGTGCAATCCACTGTCATCTTTATGAAATGGCTAAAGACACATTTTCTGGGAGCTTAAAAATCTTTATGCACTTACACTGTTATTCCACTCTTGTACCCCATAGAAATTATGTTTGGTGTGATATACTTGTGTTGTCCAGTGAATAAATTGCTTCTATCTCTGTTATTCTCATTGTTAATTTGCTTTGGATAAAGCATCCTCTAAATCAGTGTGTCAGGGTTCTGTCACTTTGGTTGGTTTATTCCTGGATTGGTGATAGAACTCTGATACTTCTATTGTCTTGTCATTGTGAGCATGCGATTCCGAATTCGTTTGGGCCGTACGCTCTTCTGTCCACGTTGTTTGCGGAGCATGGTCTTCGGATCCTGACACTTCTGTCAAGTTTGGTTTCGGTTCTGTGTCAGGGTTCGGACATTCATGATCTGTGTGTGTTGTCTTTTCTTGTGAGTGCATGGGATGAGCATTCGCTCATTCCCCATGCGCTCTGGTCTCGCTGTGTGAGGGTGTGGTTTTGAGTTTGCTTGGGCCAAATGATCTTCTGTCCACATGTGTTCTGTTCTGTGTGGCACGTGGTTCATGTTTACATTGGCCGCATGCTTTCATGTTATGTTTTGTCTTCTGCTGTGTGCATGCAGTTCATGGTTTTCTTCGGCTGCGAGCTTTCATGTTGTCATGTTTTGTCTGGACACATGGCTTGTGATTGGGTTCACTGGCCATGTGTTTTTGTTTTGTTTGGAGTGAGCACATGGCTTTTCATGGTTGTTTCTATGTGCCATGTGCTCCTGTCTGTTGTCTAATCCCTCTCTTTTTGCTACCTGATGATTGGTTAATTTGCCCCACCTGTCCTCCCTCATTACCGGTTTTGTTTTCTCTCTCTTCATTTATTTTCCTTGTGTTTTCAGTCCTGTGCTGGTTGGTCATCAATGTTACCCTCTTGTGTCCTGCGTTGCCAGTTCCTGTTCTGCCTTGCCCTGCCAAGTCCAGCTACCAGTCCTGTTTTTCCCTACTGGGTAGTTTTTGTTTGTTTTATTTTATTTTTTGATTAAATGAATGCCCATTTGAACTCTGCATCTGAGTCCTCGCCCCTTCCCTACTCGAACCCTGACACAGTGGTTCCCAACCATGTTCCTGAACCCCTAGCCCCCAACACTGCACATTTTGCATGTCTCCACAATCAAACACACCTGATCATCGGCTTATTAGTAGAGACTCCAGCTGTGTTCGAAATTGCCTCCTATACCCTCAGTCACTATTCCCTACATTAGTTCACTAATAAGAAAACGAGTGAGAGAATTTGGATGCTGAGTGCGCCAGAAGGGCTGCCGCTTTAGCAGTTTATGCTTGCTGCTTAATAATCATTTTAAACTTGCAGCTCCAGTAGTAATTAAAATATTTATCTTCATGAAAACTATCTTGTATAAACCTTAATTAAACTTTTTTATAATCAACTAAAAAGAAATGTATACCTGTATATTACACTGTACCCACATTGGACAAGTGGTTTGTAAAATGGATGGATGGATGATTCAGCTGCAGGCACCATTTTGCGAAACACGGGAATTAATTCGGCATGACCCTCACAGTGCATTATGGGTATTCTATAGCCATTGAGTGTACATCAGTTGTACACCCGTTACTGCGGTGCATTATGGGATTGAATAAGTGTGCTCGATAACGTCCACTATAGTGTCGGACACCACTACAAATGGCTGTCCCCTCAAATAGTGCCCTTTTTAAGGGTATAGGGGGTGATTTCAGACACAGGCTCGAAGACCTGACAAGGGTATGTCAGACAAAGGTGACCTAGCAAAATGTGCAGTGTTGCCCTTCAGGAACGCAGTTGGGAACCACTGCTTTAAATCAGGAGTTGCCCAGTCTCGGAATGCCAGTGTCCTGTAGACTTCAGCTACAACTGTTCCAACCCCCACTCCCCCCACTGCACATTTTTGATGTCTCTCTTATCGGACACAACCATTTTGGGTTTGGCAGTCTCTGCTAATGAGTTGAATCAGGTGTGTTAGATGAGTGAGACATCCTAAATGTGTAGTGGTGTGTGTGGGGGGGGGTCCCTAGGACAGGTTTGTGAAGTACTGAAGTAACCGACCTAGATAATAGGTTTTGTGATAGAAATTGGCAGTCTGTTTCAACCCTTTAAAACATTGATTGGTCTACCTCATCAACAACTCAACAACTCTGTCGCAGACAAGACGTACAACAAAAAGGCCGTTACTTAGCACTGTTATCTGGAAAGTATTTACTGGTTTTTGGTCCTTGTACAAGTCAGCCTCAAGATTCAGAAAAAACCCAGATACCCAGACACAGAAATAGCCCAACTATACTGTGAAGAGTTACTTAACTTCCTCCATTGTAGAATTGGGCAAAGGCTGTTTTTTTCCTGACAACATAAAAAGCCATTTAAAGGTTTCAAATTATTCCAGTCTTGATTAAATGGTAATATGTGTTCTGTAGAAATATGTCCTTACTTTGTTACTCATCTACTCTAAGCATTTATATAGTGAACTTGTCCACCCTTCATAAAAAGTGATCACCATTTGCTACGTGTTGGAACAGCACTTGCACATTTGTACATTGTTGTATTATATGCTGGTCTGTATGATCTTATATGCTGTACTGTATGATCTTGATTGATATAATGTTTCCACATAATTCACAAACATTTTTGTTGTTTCGGGTGAGGTTTACAATGGGATTAGACTCTTGAGTCTTCTCTTACCACAAGAGAATATCACAAGGGAGTTTGGTATTCCAAAACATTTGTGGATAGCAGGTATCTAATGGACTTTCAAGGGCTAAACAGCAGTGAACAAAACTGATCTGTGAGACTTGCCCATGTGCCCCTTTCTGAATGAGAGTATGTCACTGGATTTTTAAATACACTTTTTCTTGTAGTCTTGTAGGCTATAAGTGTCCATTGACACATTGCCCCCTACCTCCCATTTATAGTCAATTCCTTGTACAATGTCCTTTCTTAATAGTCTTATGTAAACCTTGACCAGTCTTATTTCCACCGGAGTCAAGTATATTTACTGTTGTTCAAATGTTTTGTATTGAGTAAAGGCTGATTCATTTAGTTTTTTAAGGCCATTTTAGTGAGTGAAAATTGGTATACTGATATAGGGAAACTGGTATAAGAGGTCCTTACTGTTTGCCAGAGTCAGCAGCCTACCAAAGTGAATGCAAGCTTATATTTTGGTAATACATATCAATAGACCGTAATTACCTGATAGACACCCCATGTTCTCTGTTTATAATAATATCTAACCAGAATGTGTGGTTTTGATTTTACTTTTTTTCTATTTAATTGTTCCCTTTCACTATGAGTGACAGCTCTCTAGTATTGTATCTATGCCTCTTGAAGGTAAAGCTCTGGAATAAGAGAAAGGGATTAAGTCTAAATGGGTAAAGTGTTGTGGTGAATCAAGAACAGTCAACATCAAGAAGACTATAGGGGGAAATGAAAACCGTTTCAGTCCTTGAACAAAGTGGAGCCTTTCTCTTGGTGGTGCATGCATGCATCTTTGCCAGGACCTCCCTTGGGGTTAAAAGACAAGCATTTACATTTGTTGAGCCTATGACTTGCTCAAAGGAAAGAAGTGAATGAATGGTCTCAGTGCCAGTTTTTTTTTTTATGAATTATTTTATTTTGAGACTCTCAATATTAATCTGATTTATTACCTTGAACCTTAAGCAAGAGGAACCACATTAAAATATTATCAGTTGTTTATTATAATTGCCTTTTTCAAATCTAAAATGTTTCTTGTAACACAGATAACAGTCCACGTTGCTTATTAAGTGTTTACAGTAGATTACTAGGTGCAAAGGTGTGGTTGGTTACAAAATCGGTTTTGTGACATTTTTGTCCCAGTAGGCTACAATTAGAAACAGTATGGTAACTATGGAATATCTCACAGCACTAAGAACAAGATAGGTGGTGTGGATTGTTGGACCTCTTGGTAAACTGATGTCCTCGAGTTCTTTGACAAGAAACTAAGGTGCAAGACTGCACCCTGCAACAATCTCAAAGGCATGATGTAAGATGGTCGACAGAATTTCTAACAAGCTCCTCCCACGACATCGGCAGCCATTTTAAGGTACGTTCCTTAGATACCATGCGCAAAAAAGCTTCCACACATTGGACTTTGAAATGGAGGCCCCGTAGAACTGGAGGCGGGTCTTCCTCTCCATTCGCCGCCTTCTCATAGGTTCCAGTGGTCGGGTGTCACGAAAGAGCCTGGGTTGAGCCACATTGTTTGGTGAACGTGCATCGAGTTGTGCTAACATCAAACGACCTTTAATGATTGATTTTGTTTTAAATAATGAATAGTGTTACAAGTATCTTTAACTTGCATTGAAAGTTTTGGAATATCTTACGTGCGCATTGCGCATCGGGAAGGTGCACAGTCTTACAAAGGAAAACGACAGCAGCAGGACGCCGAGCACGACGGTGAGTAGGAGCAGTCCTAAGGGGAAATGAGCTCATAGGGAGAAGCTTATATCGCTTTGCTGCGTAATTAAACTGGGTGATATAACACTGAGTGTTTAATGCACTAGTTAAGATTTAAAACTAAAATTAGGATGTTGTTGTTTCTCGGATCGCGAGTTCTTGTTTGTGTGCTCGGACTCCAGGTTTCAAGCATGCAGCCCATTTTGTTTCGTGACGCTGGACTTCCATGTTCCTAGCCTGCCAGCCAGCTTAGCTTCGTGCGTTTCTTTCAGATTGCTCTGTTAGCATTATGTAAACAACCAAATAACAATTAAAATGGAACCATTAACGTTTTAAGCATGAACACGGCTGTATTTGCATAACGTTACTGTACACGTTACTTGACACTTCTGATCATTTACTAGTCGTAGATTTTCGTCTTAGTGACACTTGCATCATTTTAAAACAGTCACCGGGTTGTCACTGTACAGCTATCAGGAGGGACTCCTACTCCATCATTTATTGTTGAAGGTTACCATGGTAAACCTATTACATATATGTATTTTTTTCCACTTTTAAATAATAGATTTGTTTTATATAGTTTAAAGAATTAGAATCTAGTATGTTTAAGATGTCCATGATAGTAAACAGATTTTGTTGTATAAGTTAGTTGTTTTATTTATCTTGATACTTAGACAAGACAAGTTTTTCCCCCATAGAAATAAATGCTTGATAATGATGTTAGGCTTTTTTTTTTTTTTTCAGAGTGGATGACCAAGGACAGAACCGTGATAACAGGACTGAGTTTGCTTTTGGAATGTGTACTGGCATATTAGGGTGAGTAGACTTTAATAATTTTGTTGGTTGTTTTCAATTCTTCACATGCTCTAGCTCATAGAATTTATGGGTGTTTAGTTGCTTTCTTAGACCGATAAAGATGAATTACCTTGATGGGAATGAGAGGAATTATTTATTGCACATTGTCAATGAACCTTCCTCATTTATTTTATAAAATAATAGCCGTGTGCAGCCATTTGTTTACATGCCAAGACAACATGGGTTGTTTATAATAGAATAGTCTATATGTTAATATAGATAGATATGCTAATACTAGGCTTTGTTTGCATGGCAACAGCACTGTGCAGCTTAATTTATTTACACTGTTGAATACTAATTAGTTCTCACATTTAGTTTACACATTTAGTAGTCGCTTTACAGGTCATATATATTTTGCTGTTATATCAAACCTACAGTCATAGTAAGAATACTAAAGCAGTTGTAAACGTGTTAAAAAAATAGCCTTTCCTTCACTGCAATTTTAAGTGCATCAGTAAACTTTTCCTCATTAGCAAAAAATATTAACCTCTAAATGAAAAGAACATTAGATGAATATTCCAGTATTCATACCAGTAACCTAATAAATAGGCCTGATTTATTTTACATTGGGTGGATTGCCTCCTGGGGGTGCCATGTTAACATCACATGACCAGCCATGTACTACTTGCTTCACCTCTGTATTCCCCCTATTATAGGACACTTGTGCTAGCAATGCCAAAGGCATTAGTTTGATTCTCACTGAATGCATGAACTGATAAAATGTATGCTTGGCATACAATGTAAGTTGCTTTGGAAAGTAAGTGAATATATGTTAAACAGTGTATTTTTACAGTAGCATCAGTAATTGAAAACTATTGCTTTTGTCTTTACATATTATATTTTATGAAAACAACATAACCCTCTCTGACTATGATTCATGTTGTGCTTTTACATATGTGTAGTGATATTGTGCCTTTAATAACTATTACAGTTCAATTTGTTCTATAATTAAATCATAATGATCTTATTTAAGCCATGTTGTAAAACATGTTTATACTGCATTTTCAACATGTTTTCTGCCGAGATCGCGATGTGCTGTGCTGCGCTGCGAATATAGTGCTGAATTTGTACTCTCTGTGCTGCATCTGTGTATATTGTATCTTGTAAATATAGGCACCAATATGAAAATGCGCTGCAGAAACAGTAGGCTATTTCTGAAACAGGCCATCATTTGCCACAAACTGGTGGGTGCAACAAATGTACCTTGATCAGACATCGACACTGACATTAGTAAATGATGCATGTAGTCTTGAAATCTGATCACAAAAATGTACCTCCAATAACTATTTCTTCTCAAACCTGTCCTGGGAACCCCCCACCACTGTACATTTTGGAAGTCTCCTTCAAACACCTGATTCGACTCATCGGCTCATTGGACGAGACTGCAAGACTTGAATCGGGTGTGACAGATGAGAGAGACGTCCAAGATGTGTAATGGTGAGTGACCCACTAGGTTTGAGAAGCACTCCTTTAGATGAGAGTGGTAGCTAAGAATATTGTTGAAAGTTGCTTATCACTTTGCAATAAGGTTCAAAACATTAACATTAGATAAAACATTAGGCATCATGATGAACACATTACATATTACTATAAACATTTTACAGCATTAATTGTTCTAGGCTAATGTATTAAATAATGCTTGTTCACAATACATTAATGTTAATTTATACAATTTGAAATTGTAATGTATTAATACAATAATTAATCTAGTAAAAGTATCGTATATTATTTTATGCAATAACTAATGTGAACAAATTGAACCTTATTATAAACTGTCAAATCGTTCTTGGCTGCACATTTTATAAGCCAATCATATATTTGAATATGATTGTAAAATAGCTGAATTCAAAGATTTAAATGAATCCTTGAAGAGTCCTTCTAGGGGTTTATGTTGATCTGTAGGTGCTACATACAGCCATGAATAGCAAAAGGTTTGGCAAACTTTTACACTTTAGTGTTGTTAGTTCTTCTGGTGTATATCTTTCGATCTCATTACCTTACTCTAATTGGGCCAAGTTTCTGAACGTAAATTTAGTTTCGTCCTAACAGAGTTTCTTTAATGGGCCCTGTTTTGTGCATGGGAGTTTTATCATGTTGTTATACAGCACAAGATGGCCCACCCTAAGCTTTTTCAACATAGTTGAAAGCACACCTTCCATGGAATTCTAAGTGAATCTACCATGTAATTGTATGCAGCAGTATTAAGATTTGTCTTCCTAGAGGTTTTTGGAATAACCAAACTTGTTAAGTAGAAGGGGCTGTCCACATACCTTTGGCCATAATATTTAGGGCATCTCTGCTGTCTAGGGTCCCGAGCATGGGTCATGGCATTGAAAATTGCATTTTCAACCATAAACAACAGTCTATTGTTTTAAGGCAGAGATCCCACCCATAATATCCATTAAATAATTTTCCATGTTAGGTTACTTTGTTTACCCTGCTCTGCTAAAACTTTTGTGTATAGAACTGGCACAACTCAAGAGTATATCAAGGGCACATGGTGGTTATACCTGTGAGCATCCTTCTCAAACTTAGGAATATCAAATGGGGCACCTTACGGTCCCATGAACTGGTGCACACACGCTGCAGTGATCGCAAGTCCACAAGATTGCAAACACACATCTCATTGTTTGGGACAGATCCCAGGTGTCCATACAAGCGTGCAAATGAATTTCAGGTTTTCCACAGGCCTTGCTAAAGCCACGTGCACTTTCATTATTGTGTTTAGTTTCCCTTGGCTGCAAAGACTAAATCTTTAAGTAGGCTTAGTTAGAGGTGCACTTTGGCTGGCTCTTAGCTTTTGCAATACTGTCTATGATCTAGGGCTGGGCGATATGTCAAAAATATCTTATCGATAATCGCCTTTAAAAAATATTGCGATATCCGATAATATCGTCTACCTAAGCCCCACCTCCACCACGCCCCGCTCTGCCCCCGCCTAGACAACATTCGTTTTGTGAGGAGAACTGTTGAGGAAAAATAATAGAACCCAATTTTAATTTCATCATGGTGAAGTTGGACATTCTGGCAGTGATATTAATAATGATAAATGCATGTTGATGTCATATAATAATGTCTTGAATAAAACATGCCTATTTTCTGATGTTTCTCTTTCTTTTTGGCATTATCGCCTGTGTAGACATTTCATGATGGTAAGTTTAATTTCCTTAATTATAGCCTAACAATTGCAGCGTTGTTTTTAAACTTGTAGTCAAGCTATAACGTATTTGATATTTATCATGTATGATTAAATCATGCAGGGATTAAAAACGAATTCTGATCAAAAACGTTAAGGTTTTTTTTTTTTTCCCCTTTTTGGTAGCTTACTAGTTCGGAGGTCTCTTTTGGCCCGTTTTTAACTAAATAAAAAAATAGGCTGCCGAAACTCCGAACGTGTGCGAGGGCGAGCTTCGAAGCCTATAAAGTCTTCATCCGTTTGCAACAAAACATTATAGTTTTGTTGCAAATGAATTAAGAATTTATAGTGCTATATCTCAGCTTAGTTAAACATAATTATATTGTATACACGGTTTTAAAAAATCTGTAAAAATATTACACGGAAATGTGCGCTGAAGGAATTTGCGTCTTTTAATTATACCTGTCATGCTTGTGGTTTTTCATCATTATACAGTCTGTTTAAATAAATATTCAGAAACCCATGCAGTGCTACTTTTTGTCTTTTTTCTGTTTAACTTTCATTAAACTGCAGATCAAAATAGAAAAGGCCTATACCCATAAATAAGGATAAATGATATTGGAATGCATCTCCAAAATAATCGCATACACCGATGCATGTTCCCATTACAGTAGTCATCACCGAACAACAGGCAAATAAAATATAAACTGAGGTTACAAAAGTGATTCAGTCAAGATCAGTGAGGGATTTTAGTTTTTGTTCTTTGATTAACATAATGACTGGCGGCAGCGGCTGCTGTCAATGCACGGATCCAATACACCCTTTTCTTTCTCAACTCTTTAAGTTCACTTAAGACATAACTGATTGTATTTATGGGATACTTTGATATAATTCTGTGTGTATTTGTCCATTCGGATGTGTAAGAATGCGAGAAAGAGAGCTCAGTCCAGTGTTTGCGTAAGAGGCGGCTTTTGTGCGTGCGCTTTGTGTGTGTTCCGCAGCACAGAAAACAGCGCGCGAGTGCAGAAGTGAGTTCTATTTCGTCTTCTTGCAGTGGAATCTTTTGAAATCACAATAAATGGGCATACAGAAATCGAGAAGAAGAATCTAAATGTAATTTGATTCCTGACCTTACGCTTCCTGACCTTACGCATCTGTAAAATATTTTTTGCAACTTACTAGGTTTATCATTTGTCTTTTTTTCCCCCCGATAATGTCGATAATCGTCTGTTACCTAACTGCTGACATCGACATCACGATACTTATGAGACATCGTGGATATACGATAATATCGTCATATCGCCCAGCCCTACTATGATCTTGGATGTCATGCATCCACTCAACAGATATAGTCAGTATAAAGTTTGTTTGCTGCTGCACATCAGTGTTTATGTTGTAAGTTTTTTTTTTCTCTTTCTCAGTTTCATACTCCTCACATCAATAATGGGCGTTCTTGGATTAATTCTCAATGTAATTTTGTGCGTTGTTTGTAGTGTTGTAAGGCTGCTTCACTGCACGGCGAATGAATAGCCGTGGGTTTTCTGCTTGCAAGGGCGGCTGTGACCCAGTGCATGTTCACGCTCACTGCTTGATGCTGCTGAATCTCTCCTTGATCTGTGCAGTGGGTCATTATGGTTGGTTTCATCCAACAGGAACAGCATGCTTGGACATTTTCACTCATACTCATTCTGTTTGGCCAGATAGATAGCACATGCTTAACCCCGGTTTCATTGACTCATATGTACATCATTGATTACATTGTACGAGTGCCCACTATTGGCGGAACCCTTGCAGTGGACTGACTTGGAACGTCCTAAGCCCTTGA